TTATAAGATTTAAAAGATAAAAAAAAAAAAATTGGTGTAGCTTAGTCGATTAAAGCATATGATTATTAACTATAAGGTTGTAGATTCGATCTCTCCATCTAGTGCTTTAATATTCTCCATTTAAAAAAAAATAAAAATGATTATTTAAGGCATTTCCTAACTAGAACCGCCTTAAACAATTCCCAATATTTTTTATTGATGATATTTTATAAATAAAAATAGCAATTAAACAAAATATTTGTCTTCTTTTGATGTTAAAGGCATAATTTATCGTTTGGATATTTATTATTAATAAATGCTAATAAAAAGTTGCCATCATATATGTCAAGGAGATTATAGTAATCATTTAAGAATTAATATATGTGGATTCTCTTCAACCAAACGAGTGAATCTGAATACGGGATACCGTAAAAATTGAAAAAAACCCGGGAATCACACTTTCTCCCAGAATTCAAGATTTTGCGAACCAAACGCCCCTTAAATGACTTCAAATAAACTTAATAACAACAAACAACATGCAATTTAAACTAATTAACCCTAAGCACATACTAACTAATTAAATTAATATAAATTAAACTTGAACAAACAACTTAACTAAACCAAATCAAATTAACTTAATAACATGCAAACTAATTAACTCCAAATTAATTAAAGAACAGCAAAATAACTTAGAATCGAATAAAATTAAATTTAGAAACATGCAAACCGAATTAAATTTAATCACCCAAAACCTCAAAATGACAAATTAAAGTAAAAACAAAATTATGTAACTTGAACCACATAGAACAAAATCAAACTTAAAGGAAAATTGCAAATTTAAGATGAATTAAAAGCAAGAACAAAAATCTAAGTAAGCTTGAATTGAGTTGGAAACAAAATAAAACTTGGATTTAAAATAAAATTAAAATCAAACTTTGCATAAACTTAAAATAACTCAAATAAAGCTTAAAAACATGAAAAGCAAATAACAAGAAAAGTTAAAAAAGCTAACTATTTTAGGTTGGGTTGTCACACCAAACTCTAATTCAATTTTTCTCTAAATAAATTATAGCTATTTATAGAATAAGAATATAAAGAATCCTAAAGTTAGAAAGATAGGTAGGTGGCGGCTAAAGCTTTCTTTAAGAAAAAAGAATGCTTTATAAATACTTTTAAATGCTCGGTAGCCTTTTTAAATAAGAACTCCAACTTTGACTAGGCTTTAGCACTTCTGGACCTTTCTTGAATTGGGCTAAGTGTTCTTGAATAATAGAATGGACAATTGACCTTTCCTTTTGGCAACCTCAAATCTTGAAGTGTTTTAGGCTTTTCTTAGACAACTTCTTCCATTGGGCTTGAATCTTGAAATCAATTGATCTTAGATCAAATTCTTAGATCTTGAACTTATGCTTCTAGTTGAATAGTTCTTAGAGAAGAGAGATAAAATTCTAAGTTATGTTCTCCTTATATGTTGTCTCCTTTTTTATAATCCTTTTTTATCTTCATACAAATCGAGTAGGAATGCCCATTCAAACTAGGATTTCTTAGTCAACTTAGAAAAAATAACTCTAAGTAGGTAACTAAGTGCTTTTTCTAATTAAGATAGGAATTTCAAGTCAATGTGGGATTTCTTAATCAAAATGGGAAATCCAACTCAAAGTAAAAAACCTTCTTGAACAAGGATTACTAAAGACGATTTGGACTTTTTCAAGTATAGATAGAATTTCTAAGTCAACATGTCACATAAGTTTTCAAGTTATCTCTTTTAGCCAATAAAAAGAGACTTGCTGCTATGTCATTCAAAATAATCCTATGCATGGGCCTACATAAAATATCAGGGATTTGCATTTAACTAATCTTAAGTCTTGAGGTACAACACTCAAATCTTGAATAAATTCTTGCATTATTTCATAACTTCTACTCTAAGATTTTCAATAACTCGAATAATCAACAAGACTTAACTAAGAACAATCCAATGTTACTCCAAATGTTCCAAAAACCTATCAAGATTGAATAAAAATCTCTAAGATTTTTCAAAATCTACCGAAATTTCTTCTTTTCTTCAAGATTTCCTACAAAACAACAATTAAGCACATTAAGAATAAAAAGATCTTTATTTAGCTAAGAATTAAGCAAAATTAACTCATTTAAATATTAAAAAAAAATTCAAATAACTATATTTCATAGAGTTATTAAATCTCTAAACTTGAACTTTTGCTTGTCCTCAAACAAAAAAATACTTAGCTAAATCTAAAAACATACTAGAGATCATAATATATGCTTCCAATATCAGATTCTAAGTTATTCAAAAATTGCATGATGAATATAACTTGAAGAAAATCATAAGAATAAATTAAACATAAGAATCATTCATGAACAGTTTACTTCTTAATTGCAAATTTCCATGTTTATGTGAATAATCTATCTCATATCAATGCAAGACATTCAATTAAAGTTATATAAATATGAAATCAACACATTACGTCAAAACATGCACAAATTTCATAAGTTTGCTTTTCACATCTTTCTCCGTTAATACCGCCACATATAACCAAATATCAATATGTCTTTATTAAGCTTGTAAAAGATATGGCTAGGGTTAAGGTATGATAAAGGAAAATATATGCTTATAAACTCTACACATACATTACTTGAGATCTTTTTCTTTGATGAGAGAGCTTTCAAGAGAATTGTACACCTATAAATATAGATTTTTTTATCTTTTTTTCTTTTCTTTTCAAATTGCAACTTTTGAATGATTTGCATATATACCTTGTTGTTTTCACATTTTCACCATTTTTCTTTTTTTTGAATTATGTGTTTCTTTATTTGAATGTTGTTTAAACTTTTCTTTTCTTTCTTTGCAAACAAATTTTTGCCCTTTTTTATCTTTGCAACTCCTAGCACCATATTTCTCTTAAATGCACATAGCTCTCTTATTTTGATTTGATTGATTCATATACACATAGGATAGGGTGGAAAGATAGATAAAATAAATTAAAGGCTAGTTAATATCATGTAGATGAAAACAAAAAAAGGATATACATAAGTTCAAGTGGGGTGACTAAGGATAAACATATAAAAGTTAGTTTAAAAGGCTCAAATAATCCAAATATGGCCTAAATCATCACCATAGTTAAGTTTATTCTATGATTTCACCTTAAGATATGCTCAAACAAGTTTTAAAATAAAAACATAACTCTAAATATAAATATAATCCCATATCTATATAAACTTTAACTAAACATGTATGTATCTCCGTGATCAATACTAGGTGCTCAAAAAATTGGAATATCACCATCACAAAGAAACAAATTCAAATACTCATAATTTTTTTCACTATATTCATTCTTTTATAATAAGCTATATTCAAAGTCAATCAAAGTTCTATCATTAGATTATGAGAAAATAAAAAAAAATGAAGCAATATACTAATTTTGAACATGACAATTTCAATTCAAAATAAAAAATTTTGAAAAATTTGAAAAAATTTTGACAAATTTTCTCTCCTTACAACTTGAATGATACATTGTCCTCAATGTGTAAAAACTAAGCAATAAAGTACTAAGAGAAGAAGAATACTCCCCTTAACTCACTAAGATTGAATTTGAAACCTAGATTGAATTTGAATTTTGAAAAAACATCATATTGCCTCATATATCCTTAAGTTAACAACTCGTAGTTTAGGTTCATTGTCTTAAGCTTCCATAAGTTCCCTTTAGTTCCTATAAAAACAAAACAAAACAAATCAAAGTAGGCTTGCTCCTAAAGAAAGAAAAACCAAAATTAAAGCTTACAAATAATTTAAATGTAGAACTTGAGTTGCCTCCAAGTAGCGCTTTAGTTATAAATTATACCTAGATTACTTTTTACTAGGGTTAAATGATTACCCTACACTTGATACTAACATCCACCCACTTAATTCTTTTTTTTTTTACGACATTCTCATCAATAGGAACTAAGGGATACTAGTGCTTTGCAATTGTTAATTTATTCCCCACCTATATAAATATTTTAAGTATATCCCTAAATGGGCTTAAAAAGGTTTGCACTAGCTTCAATACCAGTGAAAGATGTATCATCATAGAAAGTATAAGTTTAGGCTCTAAAGCCAAACGCTTTTCCATAGATGGTATAGTTAGAGTGAGTGTAACGAATGAGGTGTCGTCATCCTTTTCACTAGGCTTAACAAAGAGTGTTTGTAGAGGTTTAAGCAAGTTTTCAAGTAGATGACCCTCTTCAACATGCTTATCCACACCATTCAATTCCAATTCATGTATTTGATCTTCATAAGGTTGGGAAATTGACAAAAGTGGACTGATTGGAGATTTTTGGCAAATGCACAGATCGTTCAAGTAATAATAGTGACCTAAGTCAAGATATCGTTCTCATGAGGATTAGTTAAAAAGTAAAAGTTAAGTACCTATTATTGCCATAATCTATCTAAAGTTAATTTATTTGATTATAGGAATCATTATTAAGCTAGTCTCAACAAAAAAATAAAGGCCAAGAAGTAAAGTACTCATTACCGAAAGCATACCTAGTAAGTGCAAAGAAAACATACTTGAAAATCTAAGAAAAACAATAACTAAATTCTATTGAATTAATTATAACATTATTGAAAAGTAAATCTAAACTAATGAACATGAATGAAAAAGCAAGAAGTGTAAACAAACAGTAAGTTTAGAACAAGAAATTTGAACATAACTGAATATTTGGATATTTATGTCATGTTAATAAGTTGATTGATAATATTAATCTCATGTAACAAAGCAGATAATCAAATAAAAATTGAAGTATCTAATTGATAATTTTATTTTTTTTAAGTACTAAATTGACATAATGTGTATAGTATATAAGTTATTTTTATATTTAACTCTTAAATAAATAATATTATTTTTATGTGAAATTAATTCATAATATATAAGAAAAGATAAACTATTAATTTAAAAATATAATAATTTTAATAATTAAAGAAATATATGTCTCGAGAGGCACAAGTTTGGTTTTACAAAAGGCCCATTCACAGCAGCCCAGCGACACCTCCTGTAACCTAGTTCTGCAGTTCATTGTTTTGTCACAACAGCTAACTGTCGGTTCATTTTTTTTTTCTCTTCCTCTCTCGTCCCACACACACTCTCCGCCGTTGGAACAACTATCTGAATCCGGTGCGCTTCTCTATCTACCCACTTGTAACAACCAAATATAAACAAATATATTTTGTCTGATCTTTCCGATTATAGCATATATTAGATTTGATTTACTTTGATGTTTAGTTTTGAGTTGATTTTAGCTCCATGTCTTCTGAATTTTTTGACTTTTTAAGATAGCGAAAATTTCTGTTTTTAGGGGAGAACTAAGAGAACTTTTATTTTTATCAATAAAATGAGTTTCTCATTCATACGCTTTTCGAAAAAATGTATTAAAAGAATGAGGGATAATATGCTTAGGGTTTTACTTAGTGCGCCTTATTAATCAATTTTAGATTCTTGGATTTATGTGATGAAATTGACATTTGAAGTTATCAAGGGTTAATAGTTTACTTATATGTTCTTAGCTACGTTGGGTTGAAATCTGGTGGGACGTCATGGTTCTTGATCCAATACAGTCGCTAAGCTCTACTTCATTTGACTGACTTATCCTCTCTTTATATGTTCAATGGTTGGATAACTTCATATTTAGTAAAGCTTTGGTTAAAGCTAGTGTGAATTGACAACTTATCCATTTTGTTGTCAATTGCTTGTAATCGTCTATTACTTAAATTCATGGTATTGACGCTAGATTTGTTGTTTATTTATATTTTTGGGGGTTTGGGATTGGTTTAAATTTTTTTTTTTTTATGGTTGAGATATTTTACTTTATGAAATAATTTCCTTCTTGTACCAGAAATGGTTGAATCAAGATTTGTGATGATTTTCTTATTAGCTTATACTATAAAACATCTTTTTGGTTGGATGCTTATATATTGCTATTATATTAGTTATAAAGTCCTTAGAGAGACAGAGAATGGAAACAAAAAAGAGTCAACCTGACAACCTACCATCACCTGCTCCTCCAGCCCCAGTGGTGACTTCTTGCAGGAAGAAAAAGAATGAGGAGGCCACCTTCCTTGAAGACTTGAAGGATCACATGGATGAGTTCATTCATGCATCAATGGATGAGCACAAAACTTGCTTTAAGAAGACCATCCAAAAGGTTCTTCCCATGATCTTCCGCGCTATCTTTTGTCCTATATGAGCTTTCTTGTTGGTTATCTACTCTGTGTATATTGGTGTCTGACTAATAATCCGGGTTCCTTTTCAGATGTTTGGAATGTCAAAAGTTGTAGCAGAAAGGAATGCTAAATCAAAGGAAGTTGAAAGTGTTCTGCCCCTTCGAACTACACTGTCAAAATAGAGTATCTTCCTTCCTCTTTAATAACGTGATATTTTGTACTAGATCTATATGAGTTAGCAATAAATTGTTAAATCATGTTACCATGCTTTCAGTTTGATTAGTTTATACCTTACTTAAACAAGTCTTGTACTTTATATTTTACATTGGGATTAAGATAAAATAATTTGATTGATTCTATGACCTATGTCCAACAAAGTCAAATTTATTTTGGATCCAGAATGTAAATTATACAAATACATTCTTTTTTTTTTTTTTTTTCCTTGTGAGGGAGCTAAATTAGTTCATAGCAACATGGAACTGTTCTGTACGTATATTATAGGTTCATTAAAAGACTTTGTAATAAACGAGCAGTCTTCATAGATTGGTAGAAATTTTTGCCATGAAACCTGTCAAGTGTTAATAAAGCTAGAGACAAAAGAAGAAACTGATCGTTGTTTTAAACAATTTGGCAAAACAAATACATGTTACACTATGACTTACCCTTGATCTGAACGAGTCTTCTTGCGGGTGTGTTCCTGTTAATAATGCTGATGACACAGTAGAGTTTAAGAATTGCTAGGTGAATTATAGAGGTTGATGTGGTTCTCCATAACTATTCCAAAGCATATTTTTTATCTCCATCATGTAGCTTGCTAGCTGCTACCTTAGACTTTTATGTATAGGAAATTCTGTTTCCAACATCTCTTTTCTGTTCTGTAATCTTTCTGATTCAAACAGAGAATCTGTTTCTCTCTTGGCATTAGGGTAAATTTGTCAAATTAATGTTAATATTCATGAGCGGTTAATTGTATATCTTACAATTAACAAATTTATTCCAATTAACAAAATATATTTGTACTGATATATTCAAGATTTGTTATTTTTTTAATAATTTAGTTTTGTTTTAATAAAAAATTGATCCTATAATTAAGAATTTATTTTAATGAGATCTTATTTAATTCAAAACAAATTGAGTCTTTGTGAGATTAAGAAATGTAAAACTCAATTAATAATAGTAATTACATATTTTATAATTATTGCATTTTCATGTGCGACGTACACGATCATTCATTAGTATATATTAGGGAGCACGGGGTTCGATATTCGGTTCGAGCTCGATCGAGTTTTATTTTTCAAGCTCGAGCTCGATTCGTGATCGAATTCGAGCTACTCAAGCTCGCTCGATTAAGCTCGATTAATATGTAAAAATAAGCTCGATTCGTATACTCGACAAGAGTTCGATTATTCATGCTCGAACTCGAACTCGGATTCGAAATATTTTATTAATTAAAAAAAATAAAAATATATTTAAATATAAAAGCTCGATTAGGCTCGCGAGCTACTCGAGTCAGATATAAGAATACTCGAATTCGGCTCGATCGATAAGTCGAGCTACTCGAGCTCGACTCGACAATAATCGAACCGAATTTAAGTTTTTTTCGAATCGAACCCTAGTAGTTGCGAGTACTAATGTATCATTTACACCCCTATATAGGAGCACGGATGATGCGAAACTTCTGAACTAAAGAAAATGGACATCTATGTACATTATAGTTCTAAATTGCCATTTTAATTTTTTAATATAAATATTAGCAACCTAGATCAATTTATAAATAAGAATTTTACTTCCATTGAAAGCTTCTAATTGAATAAATGTCTTTGATAATTAAAAATAAGTTAAAATTTACATTGAACTTTTTTTTTTTCAAAGTTTTAATTTTAGATTAACATTAAAAGTAATAAACTTTATGTTAATTAATATATGCTATATCAATGTATATAGAACAAACTCTACATGTTAACACACACTTTATTAATTTCAATTATTTGTACAATATATAACTATACATTCAATATATAATTATTATTTAAAAATAGATAAAAATAAGTATTCACTTGCAAGAAACATGACAACAAATACTAATATTTATTGAAGTACGCATGTTAAAATTTTTTTTTGAATTAACAAAAACAAATATATTTGTTTATTATATTTTTAAATTATCATTTTTAATTTTAAATTCATTTTTAATTATTATTAGAATTTGATAACCCATTATGTGGGTATTAGAAAAAGTAATTGTTTTATAGGAGGAAAGGAAATTACGAGATTAAAATTGTGGTAGAATTTTTAAAATATACGTAGTTCTTTTTTTTAGAAATGTGTTTTTTATAAAAAAATAATAATAATAATAAAATGACACATTTGGTTTAATGTAAATTTACCAATCAAGTTTATGTAACTCGAAGTATCAATTCAGTCAATGACATAATAATAATAATAATAATAATAATAATAATAATAATAATATATTCAGTAAGAATTTTAGCTTCATTAAATCACTTTCATCTTAAATAACTTTAGTTGATTATAAAAAAATAATCCAAGATATATTAGCATTAAACAATTATCTATGGACGTGTATCGGGGGAAAGGAGAATGGATTACTCAGGTAGTAGCCACTTTTGGATCTCAGTTCTGAATGACTATTCAAAGACTTTGGAACTCGTGCTGGAACAAAGGGGGAATAGAATGGTCATTCATTCCCACCAAAATCTTATTTTATGTAGCATGCAATGAGAATTGGGGAATTACATATATGTTTCATACAAGCTAAACCGAGTACTTCATTACTACCCAAAAACCAGCAAGAAAATACATTATTATCATGCCTCATTTTCTCAACACATGATAGTTCTGGTCCTACAGTTACATATAAAAAAAAAAAAAAAAACATAAACACTAGCCCAACACATGAGATAAAACCACATCACTCAGTTCATTCAAGCAAGTTTTGCCTCAACTTACATAAATAGTTGTCCATTCAAGTTCAAAGGTTATAGGCCTCAATTGCCAGATTGACGCAACTCTGGTCGCACAAAATCAGCATCTGGAGGCACAGAGATGTCGACCGTGGGCCTTAATTGAGCACAGACTTCAATGGCACCATGCACGGGGTCTGACAGGAAGTTGCTGATCAGATCTTGGTTGATGGGAGTGCCCTTATCCACTGCCACCAAAGCCTGTTGGGTAAGGATATAATCAAATCGAGGAGCCCATTTCCTAGATCCCAATCTTGCTGTTGTAGAGCAATTGTCAACCATGAAGGAAACTCCGCGAGCATGCATAAACGGATTTAATGAATCCACTGCCTCTATCACACTCTCATTGATGATCTCAGAGTACGAGTGCCCTTTCTTCCTCAATATCTCAATCTGCATTTATTCAAACCAGCATAAAAGGATCATCAGACTAGCACCAAGTCAACTGTTTTCTCAACCAGCCACTATCTTACCAAAGCATAGTATTTTTTTTTTTTTTTGTGTTCTTTTTGTCTGTCTAAATCACTGCAATTGCTTTAGCATAACTGAAGAAAAGCATATATTCCTACTACCTTATTTTATTGTTACAAATAATTGCATTCTTGTTTTGGGTACTTAAATACTTTTCAGAAATAGAGATATTTTGTTTCAACTTTTTGGTTTTAATATCAACCTATAGGCAAAACTCATAGGCCTGCATGTGAAACTGTAGGCTCATAGGTTATTAGATGCTAAACTGATAAGAACACTACACTTGTTCTTAGCCTAAAGGTAACTTAGCGGGACAACCTTTTTCTGTATCAAAGGCAGGTGTCATACCTGAGCCATCATCAAGGCCACATAGACACCAGCTGTAAATGGATATAATGGCCCTAAATCACCAGCTGGTCGTGCCTTTCGTACTCGCTCACCAACTTTCCACATGCGTGTTTGATCAATTTTCCCCATTGGGAAAGCTGGGAGACCATCCTTCTCCTGTAAAACAATGCAAAACACAAAATGAATCTTATTGGTCTCAAGTGCAAAAAAATTCATAAAACTATATATGGATAATTATGATCATATTAAAGTTTAAATTATAAGAAATCCATATTCATTACAAGTTGAAGAATTGACAGCAGATGACAGAAAATACTTACATAAAAGCGTTGCCCAGCCAAGACAACAGAGCGGATTTCACTTCCACTGGCGACATCATCATAGCACTCGTACAGTATATCCATGCATGGGTAATAAGATGCACTATAGGCAGTCTCAAATTCCCTTTTTCCATCTTCAGACAACGAATTGTACACAGCCAACATGCCCTGTTAAAGGAAAAAATAGAATGAAGTAAATAAATAGAAACATTTTCATGAATGGGTGTGAGTAGCGGATGTAACTGACCCGAGCCAAGTCAATACAATTCAAAACTTGAGCTCAAGCTCAATTGAGCTCCATTTATCTAGTTCGAGTTCGACTTGAGAAAAACTAAACTCATGCTTCTATCAACACAAATAATTCAAACCAGGAAATCATAATTTAAAATAGAAAAAGCAATAAAAGTAATCCAAACCATAAAATCATAATTTAAAATTGGAAAAGCAATTAAAAAATTCTTGCTGGAAAGATCAAAACCAGTAATTAAATAAAAGAAAATTTTCCAGAAATAATCAGCCAACAATCTTTAGTTTTGATATACTTTGTAACCTCTTCGAAAGTGTGCAAATAGGAAGCCATTTTTCACAACTATTAATCAAAGAAAACAACAAAATTTTAAAACCCCAAAACTAATTACAAGCTAAAAAGTCTTAACATTCAAAGCCAAGATCTGAAGTATGAAGAGAACAACAACAGCCCTGTAAAATAACAATTACAAGCTACCAAGGCAACTCCTCACAGGAAAACAATAACAGCCCTGTAATATCAAAAGTCCAAAAAGCATTTAAATATATGCTTAAAAATAGAGAAAGAAAAATTTTAAATGAAACAAAGGGAAGAATCTACTTGCTTTGCAGGCATTGAAGGGTTGGAAAGGAATGGCTGGCTAATGGGGTACTTTGGGTGGGTTTGCAAGAGATAGGAGGGGAAAGGGGTTTGGGGGCGCCACTGGGAAATTTGGGATTGGAAGAGAGATGAAGCCAAAAGTTGAATATCAGGCTTTTAGGTATACAATTTGGAGGGTAAAACTGTAGATTAATATTGCAAATATAAATATATATTAAAAATGAAAAAGCTCGATTAAGCTTTCAAGCCACTCAAGCCAAACAATAAGATACTCCAACTTGACTTGCTCGGTAACTTGAGCTGCTTGAGCTCGGCTCGATATAGACTGAGCCAAGTTTGAATTTTTTATGAGTCAAACTTGAATAGCTTGCTAGTATCACTGTCTCATTTACACCCTTAGGTGTGAATGCATCAACAGGAGTAAAGCAAGAGGAAGAAGAAATAGATGAAGATTAGAAATAGAATAGGTTTGAGAAATTGGACACAAAGGGCAACCTGTGTTGAGATGGTCTTTGATATAATTCCTGTAACACATTCAACAGTGTTTGCGTAAGCAAGATCCTCATTCATTCCATTTTCTGTGTATCTTCTAAATAAAGACTCCACAATTCCATGAACGGCACCAAGTAGAATGCCTAGAATCCACAATAAGAATTGTTAAGCACAGTAAGTTAAGGGGAAAAAAGAAAGAAAGAAAGAAAGAAAAAAGAATAGCAGTGTGTGTTGATTGCAGAAGAAGAAGTGCATGAAAAACTACTTACCTCGCTCCCCAAAGATGTCACTCTTGTACTCCTGCTCTAAAGTAGTAGCAAAAGTGAAAGGAGATCCAAGGGCAACTGACCACCCCAAGGCAACATCAGTAGCTCTACCATCAACATCCTGTTTGCAAGGAAATTAGTCAATGCCTTAACACTAAACAAAGAACGGTAAGGGTAAGGGTTATCATAAATTGAAAGTTGCAGGAGAAGAAAAACATACCTGATGGACCCCAAAACTGGAATTGATTCCAGCACCATTGATCTCTTTGCCTTGAACATAAAGTCTCCTTACAGATGGACCCATTCCTTTGGGACACACTGCAATTACACTAATGTTCTTTGGGAAATCAAGTCCCATAGACTGCAAGTGTCCAAGAAGAAAGCCATGGGAAAGCCCAAGGATGCTATTTGGTTTCATGTGGGAGAATATCTTCTCATAATTGTCTGCCTGCATAATCATATAGAATTCGATTTTTTTTAACAAGTAAAACATACAAAGGAAAACCAATGATAACTAGTTTTATCATCAGCAGTTTAGCAAAAAAACACAAAAGAAATATGTTCAACAAACCTGTGCAGCATCAGAAATCAACAGCAGCACAAGATCACTTCCAGAAATAGTTTCCCATATATCACCCAAAGTGCCATTCTCTTCAGAGAATCCAGCAGCACGAGCTTCAGCAAAAGAACGCGAACCCTTCCTAAGTCCAATCTGTATTTAAAAAAAAATGGTGAAACAAATTAAGCAGATAAGAATAGGCCGGTTGCAACAACAACAGCCTACAGCACATAAACAGCATATTAATCAGCTAAGAATAACTAGGAAACTAAACTAGAGAGATTACCTTGACATTAATATTAGATTTTGCTTCAGCAAGAGAATCCCTCAAATTTTGAGCTTGAGCAGGTCCCTTAAAGAAAAACAAAAAAGAAAAGAAAAGAGACGGAAGAAAAACACACATTCTTCATTAGGGAGAAGATATTCAATGAAATTGATTCAAAAGAAAAAGAAAAGTCATTAAATGAAATGGCAACAGCAACTCTTGTTGTGGATTCCTCCATTGATACAAAAATTCCTTCTTTAATTGAGTGAAGGTGCAAAGTATTATATGTTGCCAGTAAAAATCAGAAAAGCGACTGAGTGAACGTCAAACAGATTGAAGATACAAAAAAAAAAAAAAAAAAAAAACAAACATATACATAAAACGAAACATATATTCCTAAAAAGAATAATGAAGTTTTTGTTTGGAACCTGCGAACCCCAACCGATAACGCCAATCTGCTTAATCCCTTTGAAAGCATCGGGCAGCAACTTGAACAAATCTCTTCCTCCTCTCACAATATACTGAACCAATTTTAACACACAAAACCAAATCAATAAGCCACTAAATGATCAGAAATGGAAAACCAAAAATAAAATTAAATCCACCTCGTCGTGACCAGCAAGGGAGATTTTCTCCTTCTTGAAGACGGGGGTCTCGAAATCAAGAGCAGTCTGAGGCTCAACGGCAGGAACCGAGACCATGCGAGAGGCCAGAGCTGAGCCGCAGCCATTACCAGTATTCAATCTGGTTGCTTTGAGAGACCTCAAGGATCTGGAAGTGGAAACCAAGAAGCCTAGATTAGAAGGAGTAGTTAAGGTTTTGTGGATTTTGGAGGAAGACTTAGGAGAGGGAGTGGAGATAGAGGGAGAGCACGAAGCAGCCGCCGCCATTGCACAAGAAGAAATATTCACGTTCAGCGGAAAGAAAAAGGCGGCTAGCAAGCTAAAGAGATGGCGAAACGAAATCTAACCTAAGCGTTTTATAATACAAGTCGGCTTCGAGGTGAGCCTGCCCTGCCCCTGCTACTGTTGGCTTTCGCATGCACCGCGTGTGCAATGCGCTGCTTACCAAATGTCATTTTCTGTTACTCTGTTTGTCTAGTCCCTATTTTGTTATTCTATCATTACATCTTTCAAAACACTCCAAAATCCTGTCGATGGTTTTGTTCAGAAAAAATCAGCAACCTAAATATAAAATGACCTAAACTTAAAATAATTTAAGAAATTAAGTTAAAAGGATATAAACTTAAATTAATTTGATTTTAAGTACAAATTAATTAATTTAAACACCTCATTTTTATTCGGAATAGTTTAAATTTCAGTTATTTTTATTCATTAATAAAATTTAAACTTTCAACTGGATTTTAAATTGTTGATTTTGGTCCATATCATTTTGAGTCTTTTAAGTTAATTGGACTTGATCTGAGTTTTAAACCCAAACCATAGCCCGTTTCCTTTCTTTCCTTTTTTAAATTACTTTATTTTGCTTTGTTTATTTTATTTTTCATGTCTTATTTGTTATTATTTTCGTAAAAAGTAAAAAAAAAAAAAAATGAAAAAATAAAATAAGAATGTATAATTTTTGGAGAATAATCAGGTAAAGATATGGATTGCTCATGAATGGGTCAAGGCTAATAGGGATGAAGAATCTTCCCCTGATATGCAGAGTGGTGCGGATATGGATGAAGTCCTCCGTAGTTAAACTTGGGAACATATGAAAAAATTTCAAAAAATAGTGAAGATAAATCTCATTTTGATCTAATCCCTTATCATAATTGGGATTGAATTTCTTATATAAACATACAAATGTCATTAATAACTACATAACAGTCTAAGAATCCATTTGATTGTTACGAAATTTAGTCTTAGAAAACTAGGAGAAAAATAGCAACTTCAATACTCGTTGCAATATGCAACCGATTCTTAGCCTATGACCACCAGTCTCTTACACACCACCATTGCCAGTATCGCATTCCTACAACGGCTATCCTCTCACCAGTCAACCAGCATCCTTCCATTAACAGCCAAACAACAATACACAATTTTCACATAGCCCAATTTTCTACAGAAACAAAACCACCACTAGGTTTCATGTGACCATTTTCCAGAACACAAAGAAAATAACCAAAGCACAACCCAATTTCTAGTAATGGACCAAACACACAGAGCAATAAATATAGAACTTCCAGCAAAAGAAAGTCATACAATTCAAATGAACAGATTTTTTCAACAGAAGCAAAGACCTAATTACGCAACCAATCCACAATTCAACAAAATCAAAATAAAATGCAGCACCAATCAGCAACACGAAATCAAAAGCAAATTTTGATCGTTGGCATAGACACTTTATTTTGTTGGAAATTTTTTTTTTAAAATAAGTAGGTTTCGATTGTACAATTAAATCTTAATTCAAAAAATTAATTTTGAACCTAAAGGTTACAAGCTCAAAAATTTTAATTTTAATTGTAATTGTAATTGTAATTTTGATTTTGATTTGAATTTCGTTTTTAATGTTAATTTTAATTTTTTATCTTAATTTTGAGTTAAAGTCTATTGTTAAAAAAAAGTTTAGAAAACCAAATAAAAAGTGGGAAATTCCTTGGATTCTAAAACTTAATGACGAAGATTCTTAGATCCTAATCTTCATGCAAAAAAGAATGATTACAAAGAAAATCAAATCTCACAAATTCTCCTATATTCGATTTCCAAACGGAAAGGGATTCAATCCCAATTGACCAAGCAATCAGCATAAAGGAGGAGGCCGGACAACTGCAAATCAAAATCAATGAGAGGCTATTGAAAAGCAAGAAATTTGGGCAAAATTTTGAAGTCATCAAAGAGGGAGATATGAAGCCAGCACACATAGGCAGTGAAAATTAGCCTTAAACACTGAACAAGAGATCAAACCAGAAAAAGCACCAAGCAATCTAAAATCAGAGGCAGTCGAGAAAGAGCACAACAACAGCAAACAACAATTCCAAGACCAACAAAGACAACCGAATCAACAAGTTGAGCAAGAACTTAAAGTCTAGAAATTCAAGCAGTAGTAGGAGTTGACTAAGAAACAGTCACAAAAGATTAAAACACAGGTAAAAAGCTTCAAGACAGAAAGCCCCACAACTTTTTAGAACCAGAATCACAAGTAATTCAAAGCTAGAATTTAAATTCAACGCATGAAGAACCAGAAGAAACAATCAGCATGGCCAAAAGCATTCATACCCACTAAACCTGTAATTAGGGGTGTAAGCGAACATAATTTTGACGAACCATTTGTTAATATGTTCAATTTCAATTCATTTACGTTCGTTTACTAAACTTAATAAATAATCTTAAATATCATTTATACATTCATTCATTAAATAAATCAAACATAAACAATTATATGTTCATTCATTTATGTTTACGAACAAATTCAATTATGATTAATTTAAAATTCATTCGTTTATTATTCATTTATAATAATATTAATAAAATTATATATTTATCATTTACTTTAATCTTGTTTTAAGAATTGTTTATATTTGTTTGGATTCGTTTATATTCATTTAAAATTTATTTGTTTTAATTTATTTAATTATAATTTATTTATTATTTATAAATATATTGATTTATATATGTTTATGAGCATATTCTTTTAATGTTTATGAATGAATTTATTTAATTTAATTAAATAAATATAAATTAAATATGAATAATTTATTATTTAAATGAATGAATATAAATAAATAAAGTAATTTTTTTAATGAATACGAATTGAATAGGAACACTTTTAAAAATAAATGAACAAATTCAAGCATACGTTTTATCATGTTTGGTTTATTTACAGAACCAATCACCAGAACACTACACACAAGGCACATAAAGAGAAATCGGCACCATCGTACACAAGCATCAACAACAAGATACAATCATCAAAATCAAAACCCAACACAGTTCGGAAAGCAAAGAATAAAAAAGGAACTTTAGATTTTTGACTTGGTGAAAGTTGGGTTCTTCAAATCAGTGTTTGACAGAAAAAGGAAAAAGAAAAATTCTTTTGTATAGTGGCGTAAAACAGAGGAAGCAAAAGAGGTTGATTTTAGGGATTGAATTGGTGTTTTTGGGTTTTGATGAAAAGAGCTTTTAGGATTTTCGGGAATTGGCAGAGGGAAAACAGACTTGGCCGATCGGTGACTGGAAATGGTGGTGGCGCATGGAAAACCTGTGATAGGCGGCGATAAACGACAAAACAGCGACGGAACTTGCCTATCTCTAGGTTGAGATTTTTCTAACTTTGGTGCAGTTAGAGAGAAGATCACAAGGGAGGAAGAAGAAAAACGAGAAAAGGGGGAATAAGGCTTTTGGGTTCTTAGACATCGACAATGGCAAGAAATGCCGAGACCCACGGTAAGCTCGGTGGTTGGTTAATTTCTGGAATTTTGAGGTTGGTTGAAGATTCGAGAAAGGAAGAGCAGGAATGAGAAAGCTTGGGAGAAAATGAAAAAAGTTTGATAATTTTGGGTCTTATTGAAGATTAAAACGCTACTGTTCTCGGTGTCTACAAGAGGAGGTTGTTGACGCGAGATCCATCCTTGACCTACTAGCTTAATTCAGTTTTTTTTTTTTTTTAATATTATGTTTCTTTTCTTGGTTTTATATATTTTTTAATATATATTTTTTGTTTTGTTTACTAGTTAAATTTAAAAGGACGAGAAAAAGAAAAAAAAAAGCCTTGATATGATTTATATTATTAATTGTATGATTTATAATAATTGCATGATTGTTAATATATTTATTTGTGTGATTTATTAATTGCATGGTTAATAATATTTGCATGATTATTAATATATTTATTTGTATGATTTATTAATTACATGATTTATAATATTTTATGATTATATATTTATTTGTGTGATTTATAATATTATATTTGTATGTTTTATTGTATGGTTTGGTGTGATTTTATATTTTATTATTTGCATGATATTTTTGATATTTACGTGATTGTATGATTGCTTGTTATGATATATTTTGATATTTTTGATTGAATTTTTGTATGATTATGTTGTGTAAATAAATAAAGGATTGGAATTGATTGATTTGTATGATAGAAAACTATATTTAATAAGGTTTAGGCAAAATAACACATAATTAATTTAATACTAATTTTGGACGTAATAGGTTACTAATATTTCTTCTATATGTAACAAACTCTCAAATTTTAGTTTTATTGTTGTAGAATAAAACTTATTCTTTTTAAAGACCTTTAGTTTAGGTTTAGAATAACCTTACAAATGATAGATTCATATAGATGATCAATCACACCTAAATAAAAAGATTAGTGACAACTTCATAATTTTTTGTATCTAATGGGTAGGTTCTCAACCTAAACGTTATAACAGTTTGACCATTCCACTAGGGACATTAGTGAGTCAAGCCGTTAGTTAGTTATATGTTATCTTAAGCCTTGTTTTGATAGTTTTTATTATGTAATTATATATGATTTTACATGTGTACTAACCTATTTGTTTATTTTATAGCTTATGATTTTTTATATGTACTAATCTATTTGTTTGTTTTGTAGATTTTAATTCTTTATGCATACTAATTTATTTGATTATATAGGTTGGTTTATCTTTTTACACACACCACACTTGTATTCATGTATAAGCTTTAGACCCGAGCTTTAACTTTTTTAGGAGGGAGCAAGCACTTACATTCTTGTAAGTGATAACCTCTATGTGAGCTAGCAAAAACTCACTCAACTTGAACTTTTTGCATTTGAGTTTATTAAGGTGAACGAGGATTGTGGTGTCTTACTAATCTAAAATAGATGATAATATAAGAATAATTTGAGAACCTTTAGAATGTTAGACTTTTGAGCCTAACATGTAAATAAACCCTAAGGATCTAAACCTAAGTTAGAGCCCTGCCATTCCTTTTGCTAGAAAACCCTAAATATGACACATTATAGGACATTTATTATTCTACTTATA